AGAGAGAGGAGAGAGAGGGGGAGAGAGACGGAGAGAGAGAGAGGGAGAGAGAGAGGGAGGGAGGAGAGAGAGAGAGGAGAGAGAGGGGGAGAGAGAGAGAAAGAGAGGCATAAATGTTGTATCCATCCCTGGCTTGCAGGGATGCGCTGTGCCTCAGTCTCCTCGAACGGTGATGAGGAGGCTGGACAGTGACCTCTAAGACCACGTCCACCTCTGTGGCTCACTCGCCCTCCCACTTCCTTTCCCTGCAGGCACCAGCCAGCCCCTGGGTCTGGGTACCGCACTGCAGAGCACAAGCGTAGGGTCCTGAGCTCCCCTTCCTACGGGTGGAAGAGTATCTCGTTCTCCTCAGCTCTGTGCGGGGGCGACGTACCCCCAGCTCGGGCCCGCTCCTGTCGGGGATGATGTCGTGGATGTTCCGGTAGTAGCCCAGGCACAGGGTGGTGCAGCGCACGAGCGCACCCATGTACAGGGAGAGGATGGGGATGAGCAGCGGCTCTCGGCATTCCAGGTGGCTGTGGAGCAGAATGGCGACGAAAACAACCTGCCAGAGAGTTCAGGGACGGGTCAGCGGAAGGAGGGGACTGGCTGAGCAGCAGAAGCCCGCCCTCCTGACCGGGGGACCCGACATGGGCTGGGATTTGATGCGGCTCTCAGACTGCTCAGGTTCCCTGGAGAGACATACCCACCATTTTGTTAGCTTCGCCATTTAGATTCCTTTAAGGCAAACTCACAGCTGGTTAAGGCTTTTGCCTAAGAAATATCTAGAAGCTTTGACCCCCCCCCCGCCTCTTCCCCAGTGGCAGGAGAGCTCCCGCCTCGGAGGGTGGATGCCAGGCTGCCCACAGTGGTGGTCCACGACAGTCCAAGGGCAAGCGCACGTGAACGTTTCCAGGACGGAAGTCATCAAAAGCGCCGTCCAAAGTGCCACCAGTAATTATTCTGAGGCAACCAAAGTTGAAACCTAAAATATTAACTTACAAAAGTGGAACAGGCTGCAATGAGCAGAATCAGGAGAGACTGAAATCCTAATAAGATGCCAGTCTCCATTCAGGAGTTCAGTTGCCAAAGTGAGTTTCACCCTGTGTGAACCTCCCGGTGCCGCAGAGGCCAGCGGAGTCCAGGCTCCGACCAGAGCCTTCCGGGAGCCTTTATGCACAAGGTTCTGGAAGTACACTGAGTGCAAAGGGGTCAGCGGGCAGGGGGATCCTCCTGGGCACAACCTTACTGCCCAGATGCCCACAGGAAAACAGGCATTTTAAGCACAACACCACTGCACAACCTGGATCCAAGGGTTACCCTGATGGTCCGTTATCAAGACAGAGAGAGGGTCTTAGGAACCAGGCAGGACAGGGACAACGTGGGGCAGTGCTCACACTCAGGCAGTCACACACACTCGCGGAGCGCACCCTGGAGCTCGGTGATGGTAACAAGGGTGCCCACGGCTGACTCCACTGCTGCTGCTTCCGAGTGCACCAGCTGGAAGAGGCCTCGCTGGGACACACTGTGGAGCAGGAGACTGAGAGTTCGGTGCTGTGGCCTGATGCCCATTTATGTATCTAATTAAAGACCTCCAGGGTGCCCTTGTGTGCATACTCGGAGTGTGTCCTCAGCAAGCTGCAATTTCACAAGTCCCAAACCTACACTTCGACCCATGACGGTGACATTTAAAGGCTGAAAACTGGCTGTGTGCAGAGAAGATATGAAGATTGACAAGGCCTCTGCCAAGCCCTCGGAAGGCACCTGGAGCTGACAGGAGGGCTCTGTGAGACACTAGCCGGACAGGCAGGATGGAGGAGGAGGATCCGGATGAGAAGGAGAAGGAAGACACAGACCACAGGGAGTCCGTGTGGAGGTGGCAAGACACTGGCCTGAAGCAGGGTGAGTGGGACCGAGGAGAGGGAGGAGGGCAGACGGCTGGGCCAGTGGGGCGCTCAGGGCCAAAGCCGAAAGCTGATGGCCTCCCCTGAATTTCTACTAGACCGATGCCACGTGCCCACTTGGCTCACGTCCGACATCTTCACGGCAGACTGTATCATTGACCAACTCAAAATAACACATGGGTCCTTTGCATTTGAATGCAGAATTACAGTTGTGAATCGGACACAGCCGTCGACGTCAGGTTCTTTTCTGAGGAGTGAGGGTCTTCCCAGGGAGACCCAGCCCATGGCAGCCCTGTGACAGGTGCTGGGATTCACTGATACAGAGGGAGTCCCAGACTCTGTCCTTCTGGGGCTGACACTCTGTGGAGGAGGCAGAGGCACTCTTCAAACGTGATGCAGCAAGCGCCCGCTGCTGGGGGCCGAGCGGAGCCCTTCAGCCCGAGCAGGAGTTTGAGGCACAGGCAGGAGCAGGGGGAAACCGAGGCAGAGGGAGCAGCCCTGCAGAGAGACTGGGAGGACCGTCTCATGGAGGTCGAGACAGTGCTGGGGCTGCAGGTCCGTGGGTCTTCAGCACCTGTGCTGTGATCCGGATTTAGGGTTTCATCCAGTGGGTTGTATGCAGGGGCACAGTGGTCAGAATTTCCCTGGGAAAAGATCCCGGTGGCTGAAGTGGGGAAGAGCAGAGGGGACACAGGGCAGTTCAGGTGGGAGGGGGACCCCTCAGACCAGGGTGGGTGCAGCAGACATGGGCAGATTAAAGAAAGGCCTGGCATCATGATCTCTGAGACTTGCTGACAAAGGAAGACCCTTCTAGGGTGGGTTCTAGGATATGGCTGGATGGCTGTGCCCTCAATTCACTTAACAAAACGCTTGGTTCAGAAGATGCTTAATCCAGGCTTATTATGCCTTTGAAAGACCTGAGTGGAAATGTCACAAGGCATCTGGACTCTGTCTTAGTCACTTTTCTCGTCACTGGGACAAAACTGGACACCAGCAACTTAAAGGAGAGAGGTTTATTCTGGCCCACAGAGCTTCAGGTTATGTTCTCTGCAGGTTTAAACACAGAAACGGCCTGGCAGAAGGACCTGGGAGGGAGGAAAGAAACTCCGCCAGGAAGCAAGTCACACCCTACCAGGTCAGGGCCAGTGAGCCACCTCTCTGAGCAGGCCCCACCTCCTAACAGCACACTTGGCTATAACACCCACCACAGTGCAGACAGCCTTGTCTGGAGCTCCATGGAAAGGGTGAGGGGACAGATATTTAAAAGGGATCATAACCGAGTTACAGGTGTAGAAACCTAGGGTGTTGTATTAGTCTATTTTTCATTGCTATAATGAAATACTTTGGGCAGGTTAGATTCTTCACAAACAGAGGACAGTGAAGCCACTGGGAGGAATGTTTCACAGAGAAGGGAGCAGCTCACAGCGCCAGGAGCTGAGACATCTGCTGAGATGAGGGAAGCTGCCTGTGGCCTGATGGCACAGGGTCATGAGTAAGAATGACCTGGCAGGACCGGCCGAGGTGGAGCCAGCCTTGGAAAGGGGACAGAGGAAACGGAAGTAAGAAAATGGAGCCCATGCTCAGAAACTGCTTTCCCAAGAACTGTGACCATGTAGCAAGACACAGAGAGAGAGAGCGAACTACGGCTGCAGGGCTACGCGGGGACCCAGAGGGAGTGCCTCGCTGTTGCCTGCACACATTCGAGTGTGTTTCCATGCCAAGAGAAGCGATGTGCGGAGGAGGAAGGGGTCACTGATGCTGGTCAGGAAAGCCTGGCCAGGCCCTGGTGCAGGTGGAGGGTGAACTCCTGTCCTGTGACGAGGAGGAGAAGGAGATGATGTAGCCAGGATTTAGAGGCTGAGCCTGGAGCAGTGCATGGGTGACAGAAAGCAGGCTGGAGCTCGGTGCCTCTGCCCTCATTTTTAGATTCATCTCCGTTAAAACTCTGGGTTAGGTTCCGCTCAGCGCTGCACATAGGCGTGCTAGGGAGCACTTAGGGAGCGTCTGTCGAAAAACTAATAATACGAGGTGTGTTCGCTTTAAATGTACCTAGTCTAGCTCATCTTCCTCAACTGATTTTCAGGATTTTCAGGGACATCCAATTGAGAGCTTTTACAGGAGCAAACGAACGCCTAGAAGTCTCCAGTCATTGTCCTAAACCTGCAGCTGGATTCCAGGGGAAGCAGAGCCTCATACACACCCCATAGTGAGGGCACCCAGCCCCAAGTGGAAACAATGACCCCACGACAGGACTGGAGGCTGCCCCCCAGGGCGGGAGCCAGCATCTCACTATGGGAACCAGAGTTCCCCCTCCAGCTATCACGGGTGTTCCAGGACCTCAAAGAACCAGTCCCGAGATACCGATCAACTAGGCCAGGACTTGAGCAGTGCTACCTATGCTGCAGCCAGCCACAGAACCTCTAACCCTGGCCTCTGCTCTCCTTTTCTACTAAATCCCGAATCCCCGCCAGCCCTCGAAGACAGATTGAGCCTGTTTACCTCCCAGCACGGCAGTGCGGATTAAACGCCTTTCCCGCCCTTCCCCACTGTCTGCCCCATGACTGGTATTACAGGGCCGGCAGCCAAGCCTGGTCTGTTGGGATCTCTGGGGCCAAGGTGTCTGCCCAGCAATTACTAGCACTGACCCCAATCTGAAGGTGAGCATGCAGGTTCAGTGGCTGGAAGTTGAAGAATTTGGTTGCTTCAGTTTTCTTCATGAAGTGGAAATGAAGTCATCTGCTGGGAAGTGGTGTGCGTGTGTGTGTGTGTGTGTGTGTGTGTGTGTGTGTGTGTGTGTGTGTAAAACAGTTTCTAAGGGGCAGCTGAGGTGAGGGAGGTCCGGCATTTATGTCTTGGTCCCTCATCCTGCCGTGTGTTTCTGCAGAAGCACTGGGTGGTGGGGCGGTGGAGGAAGGGGGAGACTTGAGACTCGGTCAGGTGGAGGCTGGGACTTGGGGAAGGCTGAGGTCAGAAGGCCGAAGAGCTCCGGAGTTTATACAACCAAGGGAGACGCAGATCTGATCATCCTGGGGCTCCGCGGAGCCCAAAGGTGAGGGCAGATGACAGAAGGCTCCAGGAAGGGAAAACAACCTCAAGAGAATTTTCCCTTGGATACCAAGAAAGATAAGAAAGCCCAGATGACCATGGCATACAGCCAACACTGTCATATTTCTCACAAATCCATTGCCAATGTCACGGATTAGAACAACTGTAATTGTATTAAAATACTAGTGGCACAGAAAAGCACTGCTTCCTTGAACCAAACCCAGAGTTTTTTGTTCTGTTGCATGGAATCCACCAGCTTAGGACAGTTTTTCTTTTTAATGAGAGTTGCCACTGAAATGCAAGGCATTATTAACTCATTTAATCTTACCACAGGCAACCACTATTTATGCTGCGGTGGTAGCTCCAAGTATTCTGAACAGGCTCTGCGCACACAACACCCTATCAGGTAACTAACAGACGCTTTCAGATGAGAAGAATGAAGATGGGCCACGGGAAGCCCAAGAACAAACATGGAATTATTCCACCAACCAAGCTGTGGTAGGAACTCAGGCCACAAGGCTTAAAATCACTACTCCACCAGCAACAGCCCAGGCCCAGATGGCATCTGAACTCAGCTTCCCTGCTCCTAAACCAGACCTGTTTATTCCAACAGGCAGGGGCCGGGATCAGGTTTAAAGCTGAGGAGGAAAATGGCTGCGGGCATACTGGCAAAGCAATTTTCACGAGTATGCCTTTTCCTTCTCCCCTTGGATGCTTACTATATTCATCTTAGGCAGAGTCAAGTGCTTTCTGCTTCTTTTCTTTTTTCTTCTTCTTCTTGCCTTTAAAATAACACTCTCTTCACAGCAACAGTCCAGCCTCAGCTCCCACACTTCCGTGTGCACAGCGTTCGCTCTTGCACAACCACACACACATCAACCAGAGCCGCTTCCTTTTCTCCTGCATTTGCCAAACTTTCCATGGACAGCGTGCCGTGACCTGAACCCAGTCACGAGGGACTCCAGGAAGGACAGGGCCTACATGCTTCACGACCATGTGGTCATGAGGCCCAAGGGCTACAAAGCAATTTCTGGTTAGGGAGCCGTAAAACTGAGTGCAGCTCATCAGCTAAGAGCTGCTTTTCCGTACAGGACGTCACTGGGACACCACTTCCGTACAATCTGAATTAGGCCTCTAAATCCATTAGTATTTTCTCATGTCAGTCTCCTGGTGTTGACTGTTGTACCTAGGTTAGGCAAGAAAGTGTTCTCCTTCTTTAGAAATGCACTGAAGGATGTAGGGGGCGAGGGACCTTGTCTGCAACTCACTCTCGGATCAGGATGAAAGGAATGGGGTGGGGGGAGACAGAGAGAGACAGAAAATGTGGTAAAATGCCAACATTTGAGGGATTCAAGGAAAGAGTAAATGGAAATTTTCTTCTACTCTTCTTGCAAATTTGCAGATTTTCTGTAAATCTGAAATTATGCCAAAATAAAGAGTTAGAAGAGAAGAAAACACGCGCTGTGGAACCCAGGCCAAGTGAGGAGCACCCCATTCCACAGGGCTGCAGCTCAGCTTCCCGGGAGGCTCTGGGGGATCTGACTGGCTCTCGAGCCGAGGTTACCTGAGCTATGACGTCTGAGATGGAGGCACATCCCACCAGGAAGCTGTACTTGTGTTTCAGGAGAATGCCAGCATGCGTCCATGCCTGCCAGAGAGGAGAGACTGCCATGAGTAGATGCCCTGCTGAGACTGTACTGTTTCTTGCTGTTACAAGTGACTGGGCGTTCCTGAAACACACTTCCGACCTTCCGAAGCCATGGCAGCCCAGGACCGGTAAGTCTGAGTTGGTCTGGTGGCTGTGGAATGCGTGACCGTATGTCTTCTTTCAATACAACATATATAGGTGTGTGTATATACAATGGTGCGCTCCTGAGGTGTGAGAGCCCAGCAGGGGGCTGGATAAACAGCAAGAGTGGAGGAAACAAGATGGCTCTTGGAGCAGCCCGCATGGCACAGCAGCAGCCCCTCCTTCTAGGAAGTGAGTCTCGAGGAGGGCTCTAAGCTGCTCCTGATTTGTTACACCATCAGAGGTTCCCACCAACCCACTAGGGCTCAATGTTCCTCTCCTCAAGTGTGGCCAGGATCTGGTCCGGCATTCTGTGTTCTTGAGGAAAATGAAGAGGAAAGTCTCACAACAGGACCCCCAAGCCCAGGGACAGCGGGGTTGGAACAGGCTTGAGGTTCACAATGGGATCCGTCTAAGGATCATCCTCCTTACCTTGAAAGTAAGATTTGGATGGCCCGGAAATAACATTTCATCTGAGCTAAGCGTAATCACACAAAGATGATCTACAGCCCAGGCCTGTGCCAGGACTTCTTACAGCAGCTGCTTCCTCCACTGCCTCCCTCAGCTTGGAAGTCCCAAGGTGCCCAGTGTTCAAAGAAATGCAAGCTGCAGGTAACATCTGCAATCAGCACCGCGTGGGCTTCTTTGTTCTCTAAAAAGCACCTAGACAGGAAGCTCCATGGCCTCCTAGTATTACCTCTCCAGCCAGCATCTCAGGGCCATGCCGCCTGGTGTGTGTGTGTGTGTGTGTGTGTGTGTGTGTGTGTGTGTGTGTGTGTGTAGGTGGGAGGGAGGGGGAGATAACTTGTTCTTTATAAATGCTCATTATTTTGCTTTTTATTAGCAATGTCTTTATGTAATATGTTACGTTAGGGTCTTTGGGAGAATTTATAGGTAAAACATGCAAGAAAAGGCTACCAAACACAAATGTTTTAGTGCTAGACAGGGCGAGTGTCCATTATCTGAAATGCTTAGGAATCGAAGAATTTCAGATTTTGAATTGTTTTTTTTGTATTTTGGAGTATGTGTACATATAAAATGAGGTATCTTGGGTTTGCGCCCAAATCTAAACACAAGATTCATTTATGTTTTACATATACCTTATACACATACCCTGAAGATAACTGTATATAATATTTGAAATATTTTGTGCATGAAACAGGGTTTTACAGGAGGTGCAGTACAGAATTTGCCAGTTATTGCGCCCTGCTGGTGATTGAGCAGTTTTGTATTTGGAGCCTTTAGGATTTGGGATTCTGGGGATAGGGAGGCTGAGTTTGTGCTGTGATTTAGAAACTTTCTCATAGCAAATAAACCCAAAGGGCCATGGAAGACGGGGCATGCAGGAGTCTGTGATTCACTCTTACTAACTGTTCCTGGCTCCCAGACTCCAGTGTGGGACTGAGTGTACTTCTCTGTGATTAGGTTCCCACTTCCAGTTTGGAGGGAGAACAGAGCAATGTCCTGGCCTCAGTCTCGGGAGTTAGACCCAACTCTTCAGGATTCGAAGGGTGCAAAGCTTCTCTAATGAAGAGACCTCAAACTCTGTCCCTGTAGGCCAGCTCGGGTGTGGGACACTGGCTCCAACTTCGATCTCTCTGCCCTTTTCTCTTTCCTGAGTCACCTGCATCCACCACCAGAGGAAACATACCCGGTGACAAGAAAAACAATCCAGGTGCAAGTGTCCAGGTGACCCAATCATCCCAACCTGCAAGGACCTCATAGCAGTTAAGACAAGAATCTGCATGTCCCAGCTAGCAGGCTAATGCGTAAGGCTGCACACCTGCAGAAAGCTCTCAGAGTCAGGAGGTCACGCCAGCCACATGACCATCGGCATTACCTTCAGGATCAGTGCAAAGGATTTATGGACACAAGTGGTTCTTAGCTCATGTAGTTATTAAAGTGATGAAGTCCTATCAGTATGTTCAGGAGATTCTTATTCCAAACCTTTAGGTGCTTATGTCACGTAAGTGGTTAAGTTTATCAGAAAGCTATTCTCTCCTTGATCCTGAGAGAAATCACATTCTTGCTGCTTGCCAAATACAGATGATTCTCATAAAATAAACTGATAAATAGACTGGTTAAAAGCCAAGGAAATCAGGATGATGGGACCTCAAAAGATTAAAAATGGATTAGGGGTATAGTTCAGTGGGGGAATGTGTGCTTTGCATGCCACGTAGGACAAAGGAAAAAAATTAAAAAGAGGTACCATACAATCTAGCGATTCCATTTCCGATTATATGCTCCCAAGAATAGAAATGTTGAGGCTTTCAAAGAAGCACTGGTAGCTGGGCATGGCCAAACAACCTGTAATCCCAGCTATAATCCCAATTTGGAGATTAGGGTGAGAGGATCTCAAGTTCAAGGCTAGCCTGGGCAAATTAGCAAGATCCTGTCTTGAAATAAAAAATATAAATAGAAGGGCTGGGGATATAGCTCAGTGACTCTTAGGTTCAGTCCTCAGCACTGGAGAAAAAGTATTTGTACATCCGTGTTTCTAGCAAGGGTCAAAGTCATGGAGACCGGAAGTAGAATGGTCGTGTCCCGGGCTGGTGAAGGGAAAAGAGTGTGGCTGCACAAGGGACACAGAATTCCATTTTCGAAAGGTGAAAGAACTCTGAAAACTGTAGAAAAATACGGATGTTCTTCCTGCCACTGAACTGGCCCCAGAACAATGGTTTATTCATTTATTTATATATTTTTTCCGGTACTGGGAACCGAACTCAGGACCTTACACTTGCCAGGCAGGTGCGGTGCCACTGAGCTACCATAACTTCGATGTTATGTGTATTTTACCACTGAAAAGAAAAAAGCCAAGGATTTCCTCTACTTACCATGGCATCCATAAAAGGGAAGGCAGCGAGATACAGGAAGGCCCTTCTTGTCTTACTCCCCACGGACTCATCCACATGGTGCAGCTTATTGATAATGTAGTAGCCTAAATCACTATAAGCTGCAAAGGGTCAGAAACACATAGCGTTATTTAGGAAACGGATATTTAAAAATGCCTTGTACCTGAAAATGTACAAACGACTTAAATGTAATAGAAAAAAATTGTAAGAAAATCACCTAAAACCTCACCCTGCTTCCCAGAGAGCTCACGGCTAACACCCGGGGTTCTAATCACCCTGGTCTTTTGGTGGGGTGTGCATTAATATAGAATGGGGTCATCTATAAATACTCTGTGAGCCATGAACACCTCTGCATGCTAAGTGGAAGTTCACCTTTCACATGCTTCGATTTCTTCATTCACTGAATTGCTTTTTGTAGGTTTACTCAGCATGACTGTATTCACTCTACGATTGCACATTTACATCATTTTAATATTGTAAAAGAATGCTTAAAGGATAATTGTGAAGCTAAATGTTCACATATATTAGTTATTTACTGACAAAAAATGTCCAGATGTTAACATGTGTTTTCAATTTAAGTTTTAAAGTTAGCTTTTCAGTCTTTCCAGTTGTTTTACTTAACTTCTTGGAGGAAGGTGGCAACTTTGGGTATAGTTGGCATGGTACAGGCTGGCATTATGGGCACAGTGCTGGGCAGTGGAAAGTGACATCCAGGGGTGTTCTGGAAGCCCCTTCTATGGGAGGATCTGTCACAGTGAGCCTGGGACCCGGTGGACACTCTTGGATGAGGGCATTTGGCCTGTTTATATACCGGGAAGGTCTTCCTGATGCATTAGCAAGCATCCTGACAAACCATTAGCAGACTGAACATAATACTGAACTATTTTTGACCTTACCGATACAGTGAGGACTATACACGAAAATACCAATTTATTTTTCCTGTGTTTTACGAGCACTCTAGCAGCAAAGCCTTTTGCTGTTCTCACTCACTTGTAACTCTAAGTAGTAGTAACACACTTGACAACCAAGGAGTCAAGAGTGCGGACAGTCTCAGTTATGCAAAATAATAATCCCCCCACATTTCAAAGTTTGGGGAATACCTATTACCACGTTAACTTCTAAGAGAAATAATGCTCCATTCTTTACCAGGATTAGTCTTGAATTATGAGGTTTTGTTGCTGCTGTTGTTTTGAGACAGGGTCTTGGTACGTAGTTCAGGCTGGCCTTGAACTCACTATGTAGCCCAGGCTGGCCTCAAACTCTTGGTGATCCTCCTGCCTCAGCCTCCCGAGAGCTGGGATTATAGATGTGTGCCACCACGCCTGGCTCTCGAATGATGGGAAATGTGGAATGAGTGAGGTCCTGGGGGTGGCATCTAGGACACTGGAATGCACAGAGGGAACCGCGGTGGCTGCAGGGGGCAAACAGATGATTTCAAGGGGCAGGAAGCCGGCATGGTTGCGATTTTCAGAGAGCAAGGTGGGGCTGGAGGGGGCAGGACAAGCAATGCAGGAGAAAAGCTCTGGGTCCTCCAAGGAGGGTGGAGGTGAAAACCAGGTCAGCTGCAAAGGGGAGCGAGGGTGGCAGGGCCGTCGGGGGCACTGGGGAGCAGGAGGAGAAGTCCAGGAGCGAGGGCACTGCATGGCAGAATGAGAAGAGGGGTGGGAAGGAGGGGTTAGTACAGCAAGGGACGCGGAGGTCGCAGGCGTCTGTCACACCCATGTGGTCTGGGTCAGTGGCCCACAGAGGTGAAGGCGAATTGTGGGAGCTTGTCCTTGGCCTTGGAAGGCAGCGTGGAGAGCTGCAGGCTGGGTTTGCAGCCAGGGAAGAGGTGCACTCAGAGCAGCCCACAGAACTGTGAGGTCCTGTTTCAGCCACCTGGTTTGTGGGGCAGCTTGAGCACAGCTTCTGAGGAGGAGAATTATCCTCATGCGAGACTCTGAGATGGCAGCAAGAGAGGGTGGCAGCACACGTGGTTGGAGAGGTCGAGAGCAGGGCTTGCAGTTTGCGTGCACTGCCTGGGAATGGGCTGGCGGAAGGAAGTCTCTCCTCACACTGTAAGGAGGCTTACTCAGGTCTTTCCGCTAAGGCTTCACACCAGTGCCCTTACGCAGGGCATCCGGACTGAGGCCTCGGAGCTCAGCGGGCTCCAGTCCTGTCCTCAGGCAGAGCCAGCCTGCCTCTCCGCCTCTGGGAGCAGGTGGGGACCTGACCTGGCCTCCTTGCCCTCTTAGGTCTTCTGCTCCCCAGGTGCCTGGGTGCGGTGGGGCTTACGGGCCCCGTACTGCTCTTGCTTCCTTTTGCTTCTTATTTTGGGCTGTTCCTCTCTCCGCTACTCAAGGAGAGAACTGGAGGTCAAAGATGCAAGCTTTTCCTCCCAGATTTTCTTCCTTCTACTCTTACATGGCTGAGAAGGGTCCGATCATAACTAAAGGTCCTTTCCACCCTGGGAGCAGAGAGCGGAATTCCAGCACCTGTTCTCACCCATCTCTCTCACCCATCTCTCCTACCCTTTGACTAACTCGCTCCATGCAGGCCCTGAGCTATTTCAAGCTGTTTCCAGGTAGAGCTGCTGGCCAGGGTGATTTGCTCAAAGTACTTTGCAGAGTCCATAATTACCAGGTGAGCTGGCTTCAGCAACATTTGGTAACTTCCCCTTCTATCAGCTGCCTTTCTGAGGCTGTCCTGAGACAACTCATACCCCTCAGGAAGGGCAGAAAGTTATAAAACAAAATTAAACCAGGTCTGAACGGCTGCAGGCAGGTTTTAGGACACTGTAACAGCAAGGGGGACCTTGGCCCTACGAGCCACGGCTCCTCTGGTCTCAGCCAACCAAGATGATGACCCTTATTGGAATCAGGGATTCTCAAACTTGCTCATCCAGTAGCTACTAGCACCTATTGCAAACCATGAAATATTAACATTAATCAAAACAAATCTATTTTCATATATTTGCCAACAAAGATCGAGAAAAAGCCCAGAATTAGAACCAAAATAATATGTGTGCTTCCAAGATAACAATTAATTTATTTGAGACAGGGCCTCGCTATGTAGTTCAGGCTGGCCTTAAACTCATTATGGAGCACAGGCTGGCTTCAAACTCATGGCAATCCTCCTGCCTCAGTCTTCTGAATGCTGGGATTACAGGCGTGCACCACTATGCCTGGCTCAAGATGCAAATTTTAGAATCTTTATTCTCATTCAAATTCCCATTTTATCAAAGCTTAAAAGTCTCATCAGTACTATTTATGGGCCAGCTGAGTCCTGTTTATGAGGCTTTCTGTGGGAGCAGACAACTTCAGCCCTAGGTCTCTCATTTGTATGTCTGCTTATGTTGCTGAAAGGCCGTATCTGAATCACTTCAACAAATATGTGTTGAAGACTTTTATCAGCCACTGTGCCAACTGGACCGGGTGTGATGGCTGCAGTTTCCTACATGAACACAGGGGCATCAACATACAACTCAACTACAATCTGTACTGGCAACATCTGTCTGGAAGACGTGGGCATGAGAAGTGCCAATGTGGCCCAGGCCAGGGAGAGAGGCCCCAAACCCGTGCATGATGTAAGTGAAATAAAGGTGAAATTTTAACACAGGAACAAAACTTTAACTTAGGGCACTAAGACTTGGTGGAGAAAGGCTCATAATAGTTTGCTGCAGGTATCTGAAATGCTAGACAACAGGTCTCACTTGTGTCTGGATACCTAGGATTTAAGCCTGTGTTTACCACATGGTAGGTAGATAAATGATAAAAGTTAATAGAATAATTGAAGGGTACAAATCCATCACCTCTCAAAGAAGCAACTGGGAAAGTCCAAGAGCAAAAATGTCCCCAATTCTTCTGTACTCCTTATATTGCTACTCTTTTTTTTTTTGTATATCCTTTTATTGGTAGATTTTAGGTGTACAATATAATGGCATTCATCATTGGAAATTTGCACCTTTACATAATCTCTCTTGGTTCTTATTTTTTACCCCCTTCCCCTGCCCTCCCTTCAACCCCTCC